GCATGGCTGGTTGCATGTGTGGCATGGCTGGTTGCATGTGTGGCATGGCTGGTTGCATGTGTGGCATGGCTGGTTGCATGTGTGGCATGGCTGGTTGCATGTGTGGCATGGCTGGTTGCATGTGTGGCATGGCTGGTTGCATGTGTGGCATGGCTGGTTGCATGTGTGGCATGGCTGGTTGCATGTGTGGCATGGCTGGTTGCATGTGTGGCATGGCTGGTTGCATGTGTGGCATGGCTGGTTGCATGTGTGGCATGGCTGGTTGCATGTGTGGCATGGCTGGTTGCATGTGTGGCATGGCTGGTTGCATGTGTGGCATGGCTGGTTGCATGTGTGGCATGGCTGGTTGCATGTGTGGCATGGCTGGTTGCATGTGTGGCATGGCTGGTTGCATGTGTGGCATGGCTGGTTGCATGTGTGGCATGGCTGGTTGCATGTGTGGCATGGCTGGTTGCATGTGTGGCATGGCTGGTTGCATGTGTGGCATGGCTGGTTGCATGTGTGGCATGGCTGGTTGCATGTGTGGCATGGCTGGTTGCATGTGTGGCATGGCTGGTTGCATGTGTGGCATGGCTGGTTGCATGTGTGGCATGGCTGGTTGCATGTGTGGCATGGCTGGTTGCATGTGTGGCATGGCTGGTTGCATGTGTGGCATGGCTGGTTGCATGTGTGGCATGGCTGGTTGCATGTGTGGCATGGCTGGTTGCATGTGTGGCATGGCTGGTTGCATGTGTGGCATGGCTGGTTGCATGTGTGGCATGGCTGGTTGCATGTGTGGCATGGCTGGTTGCATGTGTGGCATGGCTGGTTGCATGTGTGGCATGGCTGGTTGCATGTGTGGCATGGCTGGTTGCATGTGTGGCATGGCTGGTTGCATGTGTGGCATGGCTGGTTGCATGTGTGGCATGGCTGGTTGCATGTGTGGCATGGCTGGTTGCATGTGTGGCATGGCTGGTTGCATGTGTGGCATGGCTGGTTGCATGTGTGGCATGGCTGGTTGCATGTGTGGCATGGCTGGTTGCATGTGTGGCATGGCTGGTTGCATGTGTGGCATGGCTGGTTGCATGTGTGGCATGGCTGGTTGCATGTGTGGCATGGCTGGTTGCATGTGTGGCATGGCTGGTTGCATGTGTGGCATGGCTGGTTGCATGTGTGGCATGGCTGGTTGCATGTGTGGCATGGCTGGTTGCATGTGTGGCATGGCTGGTTGCATGTGTGGCATGGCTGGTTGCATGTGTGGCATGGCTGGTTGCATGTGTGGCATGGCTGGTTGCATGTGTGGCATGGCTGGTTGCATGTGTGGCATGGCTGGTTGCATGTGTGGCATGGCTGGTTGCATGTGTGGCATGGCTGGTTGCATGTGTGGCATGGCTGGTTGCATGTGTGGCATGGCTGGTTGCATGTGTGGCATGGCTGGTTGCATGTGTGGCATGGCTGGTTGCATGTGTGGCATGGCTGGTTGCATGTGTGGCATGGCTGGTTGCATGTGTGGCATGGCTGGTTGCATGTGTGGCATGGCTGGTTGCATGTGTGGCATGGCTGGTTGCATGTGTGGCATGGCTGGTTGCATGTGTGGCATGGCTGGTTGCATGTGTGGCATGGCTGGTTGCATGTGTGGCATGGCTGGTTGCATGTGTGGCATGGCTGGTTGCATGTGTGGCATGGCTGGTTGCATGTGTGGCATGGCTGGTTGCATGTGTGGCATGGCTGGTTGCATGTGTGGCATGGCTGGTTGCATGTGTGGCATGGCTGGTTGCATGTGTGGCATGGCTGGTTGCATGTGTGGCATGGCTGGTTGCATGTGTGGCATGGCTGGTTGCATGTGTGGCATGGCTGGTTGCATGTGTGGCATGGCTGGTTGCATGTGTGGCATGGCTGGTTGCATGTGTGGCATGGCTGGTTGCATGTGTGGCATGGCTGGTTGCATGTGTGGCATGGCTGGTTGCATGTGTGGCATGGCTGGTTGCATGTGTGGCATGGCTGGTTGCATGTGTGGCATGGCTGGTTGCATGTGTGGCATGGCTGGTTGCATGTGTGGCATGGCTGGTTGCATGTGTGGCATGGCTGGTTGCATGTGTGGCATGGCTGGTTGCATGTGTGGCATGGCTGGTTGCATGTGTGGCATGGCTGGTTGCATGTGTGGCATGGCTGGTTGCATGTGTGGCATGGCTGGTTGCATGTGTGGCATGGCTGGTTGCATGTGTGGCATGGCTGGTTGCATGTGTGGCATGGCTGGTTGCATGTGTGGCATGGCTGGTTGCATGTGTGGCATGGCTGGTTGCATGTGTGGCATGGCTGGTTGCATGTGTGGCATGGCTGGTTGCATGTGTGGCATGGCTGGTTGCATGTGTGGCATGGCTGGTTGCATGTGTGGCATGGCTGGTTGCATGTGTGGCATGGCTGGTTGCATGTGTGGCATGGCTGTTGCATGTGTGGCATGGCTGGTTGCATGTGTGGCATGGCTGGTTGCATGTGTGGCATGGCTGGTTGCATGTGTGGCATGGCTGGTTGCATGTGTGGCATGGCTGGTTGCATGTGTGGCATGGCTGGTTGCATGTGTGGCATGGCTGGTTGCATGTGTGGCATGGCTGGTTGCATGTGTGGCATGGCTGGTTGCATGTGTGGCATGGCTGGTTGCATGTGTGGCATGGCTGGTTGCATGTGTGGCATGGCTGGTTGCATGTGTGGCATGGCTGGTTGCATGTGTGGCATGGCTGGTTGCATGTGTGGCATGGCTGGTTGCATGTGTGGCATGGCTGGTTGCATGTGTGGCATGGCTGGTTGCATGTGTGGCATGGCTGGTTGCATGTGTGGCATGGCTGGTTGCATGTGTGGCATGGCTGGTTGCATGTGTGGCATGGCTGGTTGCATGTGTGGCATGGCTGGTTGCATGTGTGGCATGGCTGGTTGCATGTGTGGCATGGCTGGTTGCATGTGTGGCATGGCTGGTTGCATGTGTGGCATGGCTGGTTGCATGTGTGGCATGGCTGGTTGCATGTGTGGCATGGCTGGTTGCATGTGTGGCATGGCTGGTTGCATGTGTGGCATGGCTGGTTGCATGTGTGGCATGGCTGGTTGCATGTGTGGCATGGCTGGTTGCATGTGTGGCATGGCTGGTTGCATGTGTGGCATGGCTGGTTGCATGTGTGGCATGGCTGGTTGCATGTGTGGCATGGCTGGTTGCATGTGTGGCATGGCTGGTTGCATGTGTGGCATGGCTGGTTGCATGTGTGGCATGGCTGGTTGCATGTGTGGCATGGCTGGTTGCATGTGTGGCATGGCTGGTTGCATGTGTGGCATGGCTGGTTGCATGTGTGGCATGGCTGGTTGCATGTGTGGCATGGCTGGTTGCATGTGTGGCATGGCTGGTTGCATGTGTGGCATGGCTGGTTGCATGTGTGGCATGGCTGGTTGCATGTGTGCATGGCATGGCTGGTTGCATGTGTGGCATGGCTGGTTGCATGTGTGGCATGGCTGGTTGCATGTGTGGCATGGCTGGTTGCATGTGTGGCATGGCTGGTTGCATGTGTGGCATGGCTGGTTGCATGTGTGGCATGGCTGGTTGCATGTGTGGCATGGCTGGTTGCATGTGTGGCATGGCTGGTTGCATGTGTGGCATGGCTGGTTGCATGTGTGGCATGGCTGGTTGCATGTGTGGCATGGCTGGTTGCATGTGTGGCATGGCTGGTTGCATGTGTGGCATGGCTGGTTGCATGTGTGGCATGGCTGGTTGCATGTGTGGCATGGCTGGTTGCATGTGTGGCATGGCTGGTTGCATGTGTGGCATGGCTGGTTGCATGTGTGGCATGGCTGGTTGCATGTGTGGCATGGCTGGTTGCATGTGTGGCATGGCTGGTTGCATGTGTGGCATGGCTGGTTGCATGTGTGGCATGGCTGGTTGCATGTGTGGCATGGCTGGTTGCATGTGTGGCATGGCTGGTTGCATGTGTGGCATGGCTGGTTGCATGTGTGGCATGGCTGGTTGCATGTGTGGCATGGCTGGTTGCATGTGTGGCATGGCTGGTTGCATGTGTGGCATGGCTGGTTGCATGTGTGGCATGGCTGGTTGCATGTGTGGCATGGCTGGTTGCATGTGTGGCATGGCTGGTTGCATGTGTGGCATGGCTGGTTGCATGTGTGGCATGGCTGGTTGCATGTGTGGCATGGCTGGTTGCATGTGTGGCATGGCTGGTTGCATGTGTGGCATGGCTGGTTGCATGTGTGGCATGGCTGGTTGCATGTGTGGCATGGCTGGTTGCATGTGTGGCATGGCTGGTTGCATGTGTGGCATGGCTGGTTGCATGTGTGGCATGGCTGGTTGCATGTGTGGCATGGCTGGTTGCATGTGTGGCATGGCTGGTTGCATGTGTGGCATGGCTGGTTGCATGTGTGGCATGGCTGGTTGCATGTGTGGCATGGCTGGTTGCATGTGTGGCATGGCTGGTTGCATGTGTGGCATGGCTGGTTGCATGTGTGGCATGGCTGGTTGCATGTGTGGCATGGCTGGTTGCATGTGTGGCATGGCTGGTTGCATGTGTGGCATGGCTGGTTGCATGTGTGGCATGGCTGGTTGCATGTGTGGCATGGCTGGTTGCATGTGTGGCATGGCTGGTTGCATGTGTGGCATGGCTGGTTGCATGTGTGGCATGGCTGGTTGCATGCGGCATGTCCTCAGAGCCATCGGAACAGACGGCAGCCAGCTGACTGGCACCTACGAGGGACTGGCGTGGCTCTCCTCCCTCTCCACCCTGCAATCGCTGTACGCCCGACACACTACACTACCACGCCCTTCTCACAGGTCACACGCCCCGATAACTGTGCCACTCGGCATGCAGTTGGCACTGCATTTGGTCTCTAAGCCATGCTGGCCACATAGCTGCACTGCACGCGACGCCACATCACTCCAGCAACCCGTGCACCAGCCCCGTGACGTGTCCCCACTCTCCACCCGCTCCATGACTTATTTCACGTCCCACAACCCTCCCGCCACCACCCACCAGGAGTATACTTGGCTTGGCGGAATTCACAGGGAGCTTGTCCTCCCTGCACGTTCTCTCTCACCTGGAGAATCTTCAAAGCCTGTAAGCTCGATTCCAGTGCGCTGGGAGCCGGTGCTGCCTTGATGCTTTGCGTCAACTCGTGTAGTTCATATCATAGCAGTCAGTGTGTGAACTGGTCGCCTCTCCTTGTGCATTGGTTGTGTTGACTCTTCTCCGTGCATGTGTGCAGGACACTCAGTTCACTCACCAATGCCACGGGGGAGATACCCAGGGAGATCCGATACCTTACGGCCCTCACTGCACTGTAAGCTGCATACGATACGAGTCCAGGAGTGGTTGAAATGGAGCACGCTTGTTCACGTACACGAGCAGGTTTTCACTGACTGCTCGTCTGACACGAGACCAGCTCTCTGCTATGCCCTTATGATTATCCGTGTTTGCATTCTCCCCTGCAGTGATTTGTCGTTCCTGCGAGCCTTGGAGTTCCCTGCCTGGGTGACTCACCTCTACAACCTTCAGAATCTGTGAGCCATTGCCATTGCCACACACCTACTGCCTTTGCTGCGCACACGGCGCCCGGGAACCATGCATGCCATGCCACGACCGTGAATTGCCTTGTCCGAGTGCAGGAAGTCTCGCGGGCGTGCCTTTGTCCCTCTGCCCGTGTCCCTCTGCCCTTGTCCCTATTCCCTTGTCCCCCTGCCCTTTCCCCCCCGCTTGCCCTGTTCCTGTTCTCTTCTCCCATTTCCCTTGTCCCCCTGCCCCTATCCCACTTCCCTTGTCCCCCTGCCCCTGTCCCACTTCCCTTGTCCCCCTGCCCCTGTCCCACTTCCCTTGTCCCCCTGCCCCTATCCCACTTCCCTTGCCCCCCTGCCCCTGTCCCACTTCCCTTGTCCCCCTGCCCCTGTCCCACTTCCCTTGTCCCCCTGCCCCTGTCCCACTTCCCTTGTCCCCCTGCCCCTGTCCCACTTCCCTTGTCCCCCTGCCCTTGTCCCCCCGCCTGCCCCTGTTTCCGTTCTCTTCTCCCCCTGCCCTTGCATGCAGCAACGTGAACACGGATGAGCCGCGGCGGTAGGGGTTGTTGTCGGATGACATCTCGCACCTCACAGAGCTCACCAGCCTGTGAGTGCAGCGCGCAAAATTCACAGCCTTCAGTAACATCACAAGACATGAAATAAAGGCCCAAGCATTTAGTGTATGAGTGTGGGAATGGCTAGGCGCATTGCTGCAGCTGCTGCCAGGCAGTCGGAGAGGGCACCAGGCGGGCAGGTGGGTGAGCTGTGCACGTTCCTGCCCCTCCTGCACAAGTCCCCTCCTTGCCTTCCGTGCCTGATGGCACGCACTGCAGATCCCTCGCTGGCAACAACCTGGAGGGATACGTGCCTAAGAGCTTTTCCTCTCTCCTCAAATTGCAACACCTGTGAGCCTTTGCCTGCTGTGCCGTGCTGCCGTGTCCCCATGCTATCACCCTGCCATGCCCCCATGCTGTCATCCCGCCATGCCCCCATGCTGTCATCCTTCCATTGTGCTATTACCAATCCGTTAAGCTGTCACCCAGTGAATGCCTATCTTGTAAGACCCAGAAATTACCTGCATTTGTAATCTGGAGCTCCGCCTTCATCTTGTTTCAGGGCTTTAAATTACAGCCATCTTCAAGGCACCATCCCCGCCACCCTCTCTGCCTTAGCAGCCCTCACTGCGATGTAAGTTCCCAGCATGCACGCCGCTTGCCCCCCCCGACACCGGTCTCGCCCCCTAGGTTATAGACTGCAGCGCTGCTCCTTCTGCCCCCTCCCACTGCAGAGACCTCTCATTCAACTATCTGTCTGGTTCCATCCCTCCTGCATTCACCACCAACATTCAAAGCATGTAAGTGTCGCGCCTCTTTACTTCAAGCCCCACCCCCCACGCCCACAATCTCCTGTATCCTGTTCATCCTCTGTAGACCCTCATGCGACCCTCTATTGAGACGCTCTAACAACAACTACAACGTAACAAGCCAACTGGTGAGTGTAATGTATGCCCGTCCTACAGCAGTTTGGCCACTGGCTCTAGCACCGAAAAACGATCCCCTGGGCTCAATGCCTCATTTGGTCTGCCGACTGGTTGATTGTCAACCTGCATCGCAAAGTACAAGCACAATGATTGAGGGCTTTCACTAATAATAGTATCCAATGGCAAGGTCCGCCGCCGTGCAATTGTCGACAGGGCAAAACACCGACGTCTTTTATGCTCCTATCCCATAAGCTGTTGTCGTGAGTATCAGTGCGACCGCCTCTGGTGTGCCACACCACTGCCGCCCGCCACCAGTGGTGATCATCATGTTGACACATTCTGTTGTCCTTCTGCTGTTGCAGCTAGACATGAGCAACGGCCAAACTCAAACGAGTTCCTGCCGAACACCCCTCCAACTCGAACCGAACATGTTCGGTTCGAGTCGAACACTTTTTCCAATGGCGTTCGCTGTTCGGCCACGGGGGCGAACAGCTTAGTGTTCGACGCGAACACGAACGTGTTCGGTTCGAGCAGTCCTCCCCCCGTTTTCACAGCCCCTCCCCTCCCCCTCCACAGCCCGCCAACACCCCTTCACAGCCCCCTCCAGGTCCTGCTCCTTGAACCCCCCCCCCTCCAGTGCCGTTGCGCTTCAATCTCGACCTGGACACGTCGAACACTCGAACATGTTTGATAATTGACGTGCCTTTGTATCGAACACTCGTAAAAAAAAAAAAAAAAAAAAAAAAAAAAAAAAAAAAAAAAAAAACAACACGTTTCGATTTGACAGTTTGACATGTCTAGTTGCAGCTGTACGTCTCCTCTGCTAGCGCAAAGAGCCGAGCTCTTCCGTCCTGTCTCTTTCCGTTGAGCTGTTTCCTCAGCTGCCCACCCAGTAGGTTTTGCTGCCCGTTGTTCCCTGTTCTGAGTCATGGGGTAGCCAATGCTGACTCAAGACTCTCCTGTTCTTTGGTCCCCCAGCACAACGTCTGCTAGAGGTAAGTTTTTGTCTTGGCGTATGTGAGTCTCGATGAACCCTGCTTCTCGGGAAATTTGGGCCACCGCGCTGCCGGGATTGTTGAGTGTGGCGGTCCTGGCTGCTCCGTCCCCGCAGCGTAGGAGATGATAGGTAGGGTGAGATCTCAAATGGGTTCTCTTGCAACTACAGACTTCCAGCACGTTAACGGGGAGCCCCATCCGGAAGACCAGGGCAGTGGTAAACTGCCCGGGGCTGAAGCACAGGTCCTGGCCGAATGGTATTGTCAGGAGCCAGCCAGTCTCCAGCTCCCGGGCCTTGAAACACCATGCTGATCATTGAGAGGAGTCACCTCCCCTTCCTATCCAGAGCACTTGGCTACAACGCCTTTAGTGGCCCCATCCCGCCTCACCTTGCACTGCCCCAACTCTCTGCCCTGTAAGCCCCGCCCCTATCTGCCCTGCTTCCTTGCGCTCATTATCTGTATCCCATAGACCTGCCTCTTTGCTCTCTGCCGTCATTTCTCTTCCTGGTTCCATCTGCCCATATCTTTACCCTTGCCTCTCCATGCCACAAATCTCTCTGCATGCCTGGCCGTGCCTGCAGGCAGCTGTCCAGCAATGAGTTCACGGGTGGCATTCCCACCACCTTCACCCGCCTCACTGCCATGAATGTGCTGTACGCCTCACCGCCATGAATCTGCTGTACACCTCACCGCCATGAATCTGCTGTACGCCTCACCGCCATGAATGTGCTGTACGCCTCACCGCCATGAATGTGCTGTACGCCTCACCGCCATGAATGTGCTGTACGCCTCACCGCCATGAATGTGCTGTACGCCTCACCGCCATGAATGTGCTGTACGCCTCACCAACATTGCTGTCCCTTATTGCTTTGATCCCTTTGTGAACGGACGCTTTGATTCCTCATTGCTGTCCCTTATTGCTTTGATCCCTTTTGTGAATGGACGCTTTGATTCCTCATTGCTGTCCCTCATTGCTTTGATCCCTTTTGTGAACGGACGCTTTGATTCCTCATTGCTGTCCCTCATTGCTTTGATCCCTTCTGTGAACGGACGCTTTGATTCCTCATTGCTGTCCCTCATTGCTTTGATCCCTTTTGTGAACGGACGCTTTGATTCCTCATTGCTGTCCCTCATTGCTTTGATCCCTTTTGTGAACGGACGCTTTGATTCCTCATTGCTGTCCCTTCGCCAACGAAGGTTGTTGCCAAGCCTTACTTTTGCTCCTCGCCTGCATCCCACGTGCCTGCATCCCACGTGCCTGCATCCCACGTGCCTGCATCCCACGTGCCTGCATCCCACGTGCCTGCATCCCACGTGCCTGCATCCCACGTGCCTGCATCCCACGTGCCTGCATCCCACGTGCCTGCATCCCACGTGCCTGCATCCCACGTGCCTGCATCCCACGTGCCTGCATCCCACGTGCCTGCATCCCATGTGCCTGCATCCCACGTGCCTGCATCCCACGTGCCTGCATCCCACGTGCCTGCATCCCACGTGCCTGCATCCCACGTGCCTGCATCCCACGTGCCTGCATCCCACGTGCCTGCATCCCACGTGCCTGCATCCCACGTGCCTGCATCCCATGTGCCTGCATCCCACGTGCCTGCATCCCACGTGCCTGCATCCCATGTGCCTGCATCCCACGTGCCTGCATCCCACGTGCCTGCATCCCATGTGCCTGCATCCCACGTGCCTGCATCCCATGTGCCTGCATCCCACGTGCCTGCATCCCACGTGCCTGCATCCCACGTGCCTGCATCCCACGTGCCTGCATCCCACGTGCCTGCATCCCACGTGCCTGCATCCCACGTGCCTGCATCCCATGTGCCTGCATCCCACGTGCCTGCATCCCACGTGCCTGCATCCCATGTGCCTGCATCCCACGTGCCTGCATCCCACGTGCCTGCATCCCATGTGCCTGCATCCCACGTGCCTGCATCCCATGTGCCTGCATCCCACGTGCCTGCATCCCACGTGCCTGCATCCCACGTGCCTGCATCCCACGTGCCTGCATCCCACGTGCCTGCATCCCACGTGCCTGCATCCCACGTGCCTGCATCCCACGTGCCTGCATCCCACGTGCCTGCATCCCACGTGCCTGCATCCCACGTGCCTGCATCCCACGTGCCTGCATCCCACGTGCCTGCATCCCACGTGCCTGCATCCCATGTGCCTGCATCCCACGTGCCTGCATCCCACGTGCCTGCATCCCACGTGCCTGCATCCCACGTGCCTGCATCCCACGTGCCTGCATCCCACGTGCCTGCATCCCACGTGCCTGCATCCCACGTGCCTGCATCCCACGTGCCTGCATCCCACGTGCCTGCATCCCACGTGCCTGCATCCCACGTGCCTGCATCCCACGTGCCTGCATCCCACGTGCCTGCATCCCACGTGCCTGCATCCCACGTGCCTGCATCCCACGTGCCTGCATCCCACGTGCCTGCATCCCACGTGCCTGCATCCCATGTGCCTGCATCCCACGTCCCTGCATCCCATGTGCCTGCATCCCACGTGCCTGCATCCCACGTGCCTGCATCCCATGTGCCTGCATCCCATGTGCCTGCATCCCACGTGCCTGCATCCCACGTGCCTGCATCCCACGTGCCTGCATCCCAGGGACGCATTCAACAACAGTCTGAGTGCGGGACTGGACGTGGTGGCTCAGATGACATGGCTCACTGACATGTGAGCGCCTAGCCTCCTCCCCGCCTCCCCATCCTCATTGTTGCCCCCTCCTTACTGGGTCCCCCCTTCTCTCCTAGCCGGGCATCCCCTTCCCTCCCTCTCGTCGTCTGCTCACTGCAAGTGGCAACACCTGAGCCCCTCTCTCAAATGCGTGGCCTGCAGAAGCCTCCACACAAACAACTTCTCCGGGGTGCTTCCAGCAGCCCTCTCTGCCATCAATGGGCTGAAATTCATGTCAGTCGACTCCGTTCATCCCTCACCCTCTCACACTTACCCACCCACTCACACACTCACTCACCCACTCACTGACTCGCTCACTCACTCACTCACTCACTCACACACTCACTCACTCACTCACTGACTCACTCACTCACTTACCTCTTCCATTCAGCAACAACTGTCTCGGCTACCTACACGCTTCCTGTGGGCCTCATGTGATTTTGGGGCATGCATTTAAGAAACGTGCGCATCTGTTATCCTGGCCGATGCATGAGGACCTGCGGACGTGTTTCTTGCATTACATGGCCAAATGACAGTGTGTGTGTGTGCCTGTGCGTTTTTGCATCCATCTCGTCCTCGTCCCACCACATGTGCCATGGGCGTGCGTCAGAAGCATCGCCAACAACCACTTCACGGGAGAATTTCCCCAGCCTCTTCTGCACATCCACCACCTTTCAGATCTGTGAGACACGCCCTTACGGTTGTGGACAAAGGTGGGTTGCAGTGGAAGGCCCGTGTAGAATCATCTCTTATTTTACAAATCTGCAATGCAAACCTTTCCTTCTGGTGCCACTACTGAAGAAGGCTGTCGCAACTTCTCACGTGGTGAAGGCACTGGCATTGACACTGGCAATGGCAATGGCAGGGATGTGAGCAACAACAGCTTCTCTGGATCCATCCCCTTGCAATTGACCGAGCTACTGGAGCTGGTAACCATGTGCGTGGTGCCCCAAAGATATCACTTGTCCCGTCGACCTGGTCTTGCTGGAAAGATCGTACTCCACTCGAGTCTTGACAACAGGCCCATACTCTTTCGTCAACCGATTCCCATAGCCAAGCCTGTTCCTTGTTCACACCCTGCCTATATCAGCGCTTGTTTGTTCACGCGTGAATATATCTCACTTTGCTCCAGTGGTGCAGTTCTTGAATGTCTCCCATGGGCTTAAGTGCTGCACTCTGTTTGTCATCGCTTCTGAGTGACTCGGCCAGCAATCTCAATGACAACAACTTCCATGGATCAATCCCCTCTGGCCTCTTCCACCTCCCCATACTTAACACTCTGTGAGTAACTCCATGGCGCTTTTGCTTGGCCCTGCTATTGTAGAGATTGCATTACGAAACAGCCTATTGCGCGGTTTGTAAATGAACTCAAATGAGTTTTGGAATTGTTGTGTTACTCCAAAACGTCCTCCTGCTGCCAAATACACAATTACTCCAAAACGTCCTCCTGCTGCCAAATACACAATTACTCCAAAACGTCCTCCTGCTGCCAAATACACAAGCCTGATTCTAACACCAGTTAAATAGCGTGCAAAGGTCCAACTTGTGTGCCTACTACTCGGGTCCTTGCATCACTGTGAGTAGCTCCATCCATGGCGCCATTGCTTGCACCTGCTACAATACAGATTGCATTACAAAACAGCCTAATGTGAGGTTCTTATATTAATTCAATTAAATTGTCGAAATTCTAATAGTTGTTTTATTCCAAAACGTCCTCCTGCTGCCAAATACACAAACCTGCCAAATAGCCGCCAGAGGTCCAACTTGTGTGCCTGCCTTGCCTGCTACTCGTTTTTTATGGAACCTCCTTGCATCTCATCATTCTTCACCTCGCATTCCCTTTCTCAGCTTCCAGTCCGGCAGTGGCTCATAATGCATGCAAGCAACCACCACTTCCCTCTGTCTTCCCTCCTTCCCAATGCAGACAAGTGGCAAACAACTCTCTTTCCGGGAACCTTCCAGTGTCGCTTAGAGCCTCCTCCACACTTGCCACGCTGTAAGCAGCACCACCACCCTCTGTGCTGCCACCACCCTCTGTGCTGCCATCATCGTTGCGCTCTCCGAGCTCATCGTCGTAAGCGTAAGGGCCTGTCCCTTAACGACTGCCCCAAGGATCTTAATGACATCCCGTACATCCGCTGGATGAACCAGCAGATCGCCAACGGCCGTCATCCGACAGGCTTGTCCGCGCCGCCCGCGCTTGACGGGCAGGGTTCTAGTGCACAGTCGCCCAGCGCGGGCCCGTCACGTGTGCGACGTCAGCCTGCAAGGACGGCGGCAACAATGCGGCCCGTTGCGGAGCAAGATGTCGACGACGATGATGAGGAGTACCGCGGCGACCAGGACCAGGATGATAAAGGACTACCAGGTACTGTGATGTGAAAACTAGACGATTTAGGAAGTGAAACGAGAAAGTTGGATGGAGGCTAGCCCATAATCCGGATCCAGCTCTGCCCACCTCTTTCTTCCCACCCCCTCTTCACCCAATCCTTACAGCATTCTGGAGAGTGAATTGAGCCAGTGAAAGGCCAACAAGTGCGTAAACATCCAAGCACAACCAGTTGTCTCCTCGGACTGTCATTGTGATGGCTGTGCTGTTTTCTGCAGACGCCAAAGGGAGAGACACGAGCATTGAGGAACAGAAAGGAAGGGGAGCAAATTCAGAGGAACGGGAGATGTTTCAGTCGTGAAGGAGCCCATCATGCATTGCTGCAATGCCCTCAGTCGTGGCACAAGCACAATGTGCTGGCAATGTCAAGCACGACAGACTGACAATTCCAAAGGCTCCTGCTTGGGGTAGAGTGGCAGCACCTGGATCGCAGGTGGGGAAGCCATCCACTGTTGTGCTTAGGACATGGTTGGGAGGGCAGATGCAGGAGTAGGCGCCCTTGCCATCGTTGATGCAGGCTCCCACATAGCAGGGGTTCTTGAAGTACGACCCACACACGTCCACTGCCCCAGGTGTAGAGGAGAGTGGGGAAATGGAGAGAAGAGAGAAAGGATGAGGGTAGAAGAAAATAAGGATACAGGTAGAAGATTGTGGGGGTATGGGGAGAAGAGAGGGGAGATTAGAGGGAGTAGGGGGGATATGGGGAGAAGAGAGAGGGGATATTGAGAGGAGCGAGAGGGAGTATGGCACTTCATGGCACTCAAGAGAAATGAGGCTGCACACCACAAGATGCCGTCGGATCTCCTACACATTGCACAAGCAGGCTAGGAGGAGGTAGAGCACAGGGGTCTGGGAGAGATGTCATGTGACTCACTTACTCGTTGCTCTGCCTTCTCGGACTACTCCTCGCACTCATATAAGGAGGGTGTGGAGGCTTTCTCATGGTGCAAAAAACAGACATACTCGATTTAAGTGTGGGACCAATTTTGGAAACTCAAGCTTTCCCAAGAAGTCAAACTTACCGTAAGCGCATGTGTTGGAGCCATATCCATTCTTAACCTCGACAAAAGGCTGAGGTTGAGCTGTAAGAACGGGAATACTGCAGTTGCAGTTATTGCTGTTACTGCTGCTTGTTCTGGAAGTCAGGCATTGGAAGCGGCCGCACGGGTTCATGCTGGTCTCCGTCTCCTTATCGAATGTGTAGCTTCTTCGCCCGCAGGGGTCACCTGGAACTGGAAGGCGACAAAAAGGTTGCACTTTTTTAAAACGTGAAGATGGATGTTAGAAGACCATAGCAAACAAACAAGTGTGGAGAGGAAATATTAGAGAGCTCGTGCCACTTTGTGCTTGCGAAAATTGCTTGCATCTCGCGACTCGCTTGAGCTCATTTGCAAGCCCACTCGGCCTGTCTTTGTGCTCATGCCGACTTTTGACAATGGGATAGATAATGCTCACTCTTGACAACGGGGTAGATGCCAGGCAGCGCATTGATGCCACACACGCCATCCCCTCCCTGAATATCCATGCGCATGTGGCCTTTGTCTCCCCAGTCCTCTCCCCATGAGTTGCGGATGATCCAAAACGGTGGAGCAATGCGGTTCTGGCTGCCATCGTCAAACAAGATGAAGTAGCCTATAACGAGTACAACATGGTTGACACTGCCCGTGTAGCAAATAGGATCCTGGTATTTGAAAGTCTGCAACAACAGAGTTGGGGCAGAAGATACGTAGAATGGGGAAGTACAGTACAGTCAGTCAAGTATGAAGTTGAGGTGGAAGGGGTTACAGCACTCCACAATGATGCCAGTTGTCTCTACATGTGAAGCATATATGTGAATGTCCGTGCCATCTATGTGTGGAGCCAGAGTACACATTCAGAAAAATGTTAATAAAGTGATAAACATTTGAATTCGGGTCACCGGTTCGGGTTTTCTGCCGGAAATAATAATATTGTCTACCGGGATGAACATATGAAACTGAGTGGTGTGACAGTTGTATACTGAAGATCGCTTTCTGTGGTTTGTGTAAAAGGCAGTTGCACTTCGTTTTTGCGCAACAAAAGTCTCCTCCCTTAATCATCTGTTTCCCTACAAATCGGACCCCACATTTCCGTTTCAAACCGCGTTGAATGTGCCACAGTGGCTTTAAAAAGAGAACAACGACGGACCATACTGGGTGAGAGTTGCAACGACTCACCCCATCATACGCCTTGAACGTGTCAGCAGACGCCTCGATGTGAACCACAACTGGCTGGCGTCGCACAGCCAGCATGAGCCCCACATACCCCTTGAACTGCGCTCGCTCAAACGACTGCACCGGGTACCTTGTTGCCTGGGCCCACGAGAAAAGGAAAATGGACCATTAGTGGAAGGGACAATGAGGTTGTTGAGTGGGAGTGGGAGTGGGAAGGGGGTGGGGGGGAAGAGGTAGGGGGAAGGTTGGGTGGGTGAAGAAGGCATGGTCGTGGAGCCAGCCTGTCAGAATCACAGGACAGGCTGACTTTTGCCAAGGCCGATCGGCACTACAGCCCCAGGCCAGACAAAGCCGCATGTCAAATTCATGACGGGCCTTGTTGCATCCCGTGGGGGTCCGGCACGGCACGGGTTCGCGCTGGTCATTATCGCAGCGGATTTGGAACTCATAGCTGGATTTTCTGGCGCTCGTGTCTGTCTGCAGACCATGCTGTTTTCCCTACCGGGTCATTGGCCCTTGTGAGCCCACTTCTGCCATTGGCATTAAGAGCCACGAGCTTCTCAAAGGCATGGGCGGGGGAGCCGCCAGCCGTGCACTTGTTTGAGTTGGTGAGCCACATGGGAGCAAAGAGGGACTCCACTGACACCTGTGGTGCTCTGCCCTTCTTGGCAATGCCGTAGGCTGCCTCCACACTCGCCACCACCGCATACGCCCAGCAGGCACCTGAAAAGTGGATGGAGAAGGAGAAGCATGTAATGACTGTGGAGCAATCTTAAGGACGGTGGCATTTGCTGCCTTGTGTAGCGCGCCTGCGGTGCAAACAACAACATTGTTCGACAAAAGACGCGACGCTAGGAGGGGAAAACATCCCTTCACATGCAACGAAAAAGCGGGCCATAATGTGAGCTGGGAACTTGCGATCCTATTTCTACTTACCGCATTCGTTCTGGTTCTTGACAGGCCAACCGAGCCAGGACACGGCGTCCCACGAGTGGAGGTCGTGGATGCTCCACGCTTCGCTCAAGGCGGGCGTCAGTCTGAAGTCCGCACTCACGTAGCGCGAAAAGGGGCTGCTTCGCGACGGTGCAAACATGGCCTCCGAGAGTGAAAGGCCGAGGGCTGTGAGGGGCAGGAAAGGGTGGAGAAGAAGAGAAATGTGCTTGGGGAGTAGAGCGAGAGCAGGCGCGGAGACAAGAGACATGGCAGGGCCTGGATTTGCAATGTCGTGGTCACCCTCTGAATCTTCTCGCAAGTCCCACAGTGGGACTCCCACTTGCTCGAAGAGGAACCGGCTGGGGCACCCCCAAGTAAGTCCGACCGGCAAGCATGGGATCTTTGGCGACTAGGTGCGGCTCTTGGCAATGACGGTTGGGACACACACGTGCACCTCACATGGGGCCTAACTCTTCTTGTGGATGCCCCACACCTCGCAAACGGCCCTTTCAACATTCGATTGCCACATGCCAGCTCTAGTGCTCACCTGTCTCTTTGATCTCGGGTGACTTGGGTGAAGGAGCACCTATGGGGAGAATAAGCCACAAGCAGAAAGACAAGCACAACAGCCCAGGATGGTTGAGTCTTAAGATACGGAGGGAGAGAACCACATCAAGGGCTAGCAACGGCCTCCAGCAGCAGCGGCGGCGGCGGCAGCCGCAGCAGCAGCAGCAGCAGCAGCAGCAGCAGCCACCACCGCCGCTGCCGCTGCCGCCGCCGCCGCCACCACCACCACCACCACACCCCCCATACACAACATGCTGTCCTCATTCAGACAGTCATGGCCATCACCATCACCCCACTTTGCATATCCTTGCCTGTTTGCATGTACGAGAGGAGAATGGTGTTTCGCTGGAAGGGCTTCACAGTGGTGGACGCAACGAAGCCAAATGAGAACGCCGGCTGAAAGGGCTTCACTGGAGCCTGCAGCACCTAACAGAGTGACAGACTCGTCTGCAGCAGCGGAACATCTGGCTTCATGGCTGAATCCGCCAGGAACACTTGAATGGTGCCGGGATCCCCAGGCTCATAGTCCACCCATGCAGTGCACCCAGCAGCGCAGATGGTGAGAGTGAATGGTGAGACCTCTGCCACCAATGATTTTTTCACGCCGTTAATGTTCAGCCCCACATGCTGCTTGCCACTCTGCTTGTTCTTTTGGAACGTCTTGAACACAACGGCCATGCTCCGAGCCCCCGATCCAGCATACCCCACACCACCAGGCTTCCCCACCGTGGTGTTTGCTGCGATCACAAATGCAAAGCCGTTGAACCTGGCAGCACGATTCTGGGGAAAGATAGCGAAGGTGAAGTTGACTCTAAACGCCAACTCCAAGCCACATCGCGAGGTCACACCAGGGGGGTACACAAACAGGTTCACTGGATTCGCCATGAATCGCCCCACTGTCTGCTGCTGCGTCCCCTTGGTGAGCTCGGTGTCTGGGGGAAGAATGAGGTAGCTTTGTTCAATCAAGCCTGAAAAGTTTTCGAGGTAGGGGAAGCAGAGAAGAGCATGAGGAAGGGTGAGAGTGGTGAGCAATGGTGCCATATGTGAACGAAATTACGTGGTCAGCTTTTATAATGGGGCATCCAAGGTAAAAGAGTCTGTGCCGTAAGGTGCTATGTGTGTAGCACCCATGAATGACTCAGCAAACTTATCTGCTCTGGTTAGACTGGGTCAGAGCCGCAGAAGCGAGGGATAACCAATGTGTGGTGCCAGGCTGGCTGGACTAGACTGCTGCAAACTATAACGCAAACGGCTATAGAGGGCTTACTGGGCAAATAAACAATGGGATGTCCGTATAGCCAGTGCAAGTGCGGCCATGCGTGATTTTCACAGTACAACAATAGGCACTCAAGGTGTGCTACAGAAACATATTACCTGTTTCAAGACAGCGAATTCCTCCAAGCTGCACCGATCCCGAATTACACGAGCACGTGGGCACCAAGCTGGGCCCGACTGGTTCGCAGATGCCACGGCCGTCACACGCAGAAGTACTACTGTTTGCGGATATGCCACAAAACGCTGTGCACTGTGCTGGGGGTCGCTGTATATCAGAAGAGCAAGCACTGTCCTGTGCAAAGCAGTTGGCAGCGATACTGTACTGATCGCAGTTTGTTGCATTCCAAGGACCCGACAGGTAGTTGCTAGACAGGTCCAACTTGAACCCTGGCCTCCAATTCAAGAACTCAAGCGGGGGACCTGTGAGGTAGTTGTGGGAGAGATCACTGTGGGAAGGGGGAGTCAAACAAAGGCAGGGGAGCCAAAACATGGGAGGGGATATTATATCAGACTCATAAGAGAACCTGGATGCATGTGAATGGTATGAGGTGGTGAGCAGAGGAAAGGTTTGGAGCAGAAAAGAGGGTATGCAGAAGGCATGGAGGAAAGAGAAGGGCATGAGGGGAGAGTTTGGGGGAGAGGACGATCAGGATGGGTATGAGGGAGTGCTCAACAAATTCAATATTAGTGAAAGAGAGGACAATATAGGTGAAAGAGAGGACCAATAATGAAGTTCTCCAGAGTCCATGGTAGCAGGAAGGCCATTGGCATGTGGGTACAAAACATATTCACAGGCAACCAAGAGTCGGGTCTTGAGGCATTGAAAGGATGAGTGAGGAGGTCAGGAGGGTTGAGGACAAACAGAGGCATAGAAACACTGACAGGTATTGAAGGTTAACCAATGTGCCGATGAATGTAGGGATGGGTCCTGTCAAGCGATTGTTGCCAATGGACCTGTAGCATAAGAGAGAGGGCTTGAAGAGAAGTTGAGGAAAAGGCTGTGGAGCATGGGGGGCTGGTGCGTGAAAGGCATGGAGGAAAGAGAAGGGCATGAGGGGAGAGTTAGGGGGGGAGGACGATGGGTATGAGGGAGTGCTCAACAAATTCAATATTAGTAAAGGAGAAGACAGTATAAGTGAAGGAGAGGACCAATAATAAAGTTCCCCAGAGTCCATGGTAGCAGGAAGGAGAGGTAAAGGAAGGCCATTGGCATGTGGGTACAAAACATATTCACAGGCAACCAAGAGTCGGGTCTTGAGGCGTTGAAAGGATGAGTGAGGAGGTCAGGAGGGTTGAGGACAAACAGAGGCACAGAAACACTGACAGGGATTGAAGGTTAACCAATGTGCCGATGAATGTAGTCCTGTCAAGCGATTGTTGCCAATGGACCTGTAGCATAAGAGAGAGGGCTTGAAGAGAAGTTGAGGAAAAGGCTGTGGAGCATGGGGGGCTGGTGCGTGAAAGGCATGGAGGAAAGAGAAGGGCATGAGGGGAGAGTTAGGGGGGGAGGACGATGGGTATGAGGGAGTGCTCAACAAATTCAATATTAGTGAAGGAGAGGACAGTATAAGTGAAGGAGAGGACCAATAATAAAGTTCCCCAGAGTCCATGGTAGCAGGAAGGAGAGGTAAAGGAAGGCCATTGACATGTGGGTACAAAACATATTCACAGGCAACCAAGAGTCGGGACTTGAGGCGTTGAAAGGATGAGTGAGGAGGTCAGGAGGGTTGAGGACAAACAGAGGCACATAAACACTGACAGGGATTGAAGGTTAACCAATGTGCCGATGAATGTAGGGATGGGTCCTGTCAAGCGATTGTTGCCAATGGACCTGTAGCATAAGAAAGAGGGCTTGAAGAGAAGTTGAGGAAAAGGCTGTGGAGCATGGGGGGCTGGTGCGTGAAAGGGGATAGCCGGCAGGCAGCCCCACGACAGCTAGTCTCTAGATCGCTTTATCATGCTACTACGGGGAGGTCAATATTGGACGTTGGTATAATGAAATCTACATTTGCCCCACACGGCTTCCCCCCCCTAAACCCCCCCCCCCCCCCATTCCCTGGCCCTTTTCCCTGCCCAAAAGTTGTTTTTTAGCTTCCGTGAAAGCGTCCAAACTCGCGTTGATTAGCGTTTGTTTTTGCCTTAAATGAAGTTTCCCGCGTCTGAAGACCAGCATCCAAACACTCGACGCGTTCACGGTAACATAGCTTCCAAGCACCATATAAGCACTAAGTACACAAGAGACATGAACAGAGACATCATGTCCCTCTCCAAAACTGGGCGGACAGCAGGTGGCTCGTCATGAGCCTAGAAAGCCCCATTTGCTCGTTTCAAGCACAACGGCGTATCAGGACGAAGTACACAATGTGCAGCTATGAAGACAAGAGGTGGACTGGAGAGGAGGGTACAAAAAGCAAGCGGAGTTGAGACTCGGCACCTGCAGCTTTCCCCAAAGATAACTGCGACGGACCGCGCTCGTGAAGGATTAATACAAGTCTTGCAAGACAGGGGAAGTCAACACAGTAGAGAGGCCCTACAAGTAGCTCAGCTGCGTTGCCGACTACAGTGGTAGACATGAGCAAGCGAGTCGAGTAAACTCGGTTGGGACGTTTATTCTGTTAGAAGCATTTTTTACTCGACGAGAATACTCGGCGCATCATTTCGCCGTTAGTTCCGTGTGTATTTCCTGAGGGACTTAATTCGAGTCGAGCCGAGTCTGGCTCGTATCGTTTTACCTTGAACGATTCGAGAAATGATCGAGTGGTGAAGGACTGGGTTCAATGAAGGGCATGGATTTAGACGAGCATGAAGGAGTGGTAGAGAGGAGAAGCGCAGAAGTGAGAGGAAAACAAAGAAAGCGCCTTACAAGAATTTCAGGTTTGGAAGGTTGTCAATTTCAGTCGGAATTCCATTGAGCTGATTCCATGAAAAATCTCTGCGAAGATGAACACGGATGGTCATGTGGTAGGGAAGGTAGATACAGAGAGCTCGAGTTTGCATGGAAACAAGCCTATCATAGGAGGTTATGCAAAATTCAGAAAAGGCAACTAAATTATGAGGGCAGCGCGATGGACATTATTCCTGGGGTGTGTGCAGGCAATGGCTGGGATAGACGGCAGGGGCAGGAGAATTGAAGAGAGAGGATATTCTCTTGCCCCATGGGTGTCATCAACGCATAAAATGGGATCGAGGACGAGAGCATGGGAGAGGGGAGGAGAGAGGAGAGGAAGCGATATATGTGCTGCCAGATGGCACAAAGGCGGGAAACTTTGGAGTCCCCCTAATCTCAGTTGCCTTCTTGGGGTTTATAATGAGGGATCACGAAGAGAGGAAGAAAGCGAGAAAAAAGGACGAGCAACCAAAACAAGAGAAGTGAGAGTGGAAAAGGAAGGAAGACAAAAAACGGACAACAGGAATGAAGAGGGACGAGCATGAAACAAGGAGAAAATGGAGCAGAGACGCCTTCCACTCGAAGATGGTTTGTCAGATTGCCAATCGCCCAGAATCTGAGCCCAGCAGGGATTGGAACCCGCAGCTCTGGACAGCAGTGTGGAATCACTCTCCCTCATCACCCGGCACATGAGGGTTAGCCAGAGTTGTGCCCGACTCGGTTTGCCATGTGTGCATGTCCGCACACACTGCAGTATGTTCTCACTCAAGACCCTCAAATCACTTCTCCCCTACAACCCACAATCGCATGACTCCAGTTAAATGCGAGAAGAAGGTGGTGAGTGGAGCTGATACGAGTGGATATGAAGGAAGAGGGGTCAATGGAGAGCAGAGATGGTGAAACCGTGGAGAGGAGAGGCGCAAAAGGGAGAGCATAGCCAAGCAAGCAAAGGCCTTGCCAGGGGGCTTACAGGTAATCCAGTTTCGTAAGGTAGATGAGTGTTGTGGGGATCGAGCCAATGAGCTGATTCACTGCAAGATCTCTGTGACAAAAAACACAAATTGGCATGTGGTAGATATAAACGCGGACGGGCATGTGGTTGGTTGCGTAGGTTGATACAGGGAGCTCGAGTTTGCATGGAAACGAGCAGCAGATAGGAGGTAATGCGAAATCCAGGAAAGGCAACAAAAGCATGAAGGCAGCGCAATGAACATTGTTCCTGGGGTGTGTGCAGGCAATGGCTGGGATAGACGGCAGGGGCAGGAGAATTGAAGAGAGAGGATATTTTCTTGCCCCAAGGGTGTCATCAACGCATAAAATGGGATCGAGGACGAGAGCATGGGAGAGGGGAGGAGAGAGGAGAGGAAGCGATATATGTGCTGCCAGATGGCACAAAGGCGGGAAAATTTGGAGTCCCCCTAATGTCAGTTGCCTTGTTGTGGTTTATAATGAGGGATCACGAAGAGAGGACGAAAGCGAGATAAGAGGACGAGCAACCAAAACAAGAGAAGTGAGAGTGGAAAAGGAAGGGATAAATGAAGAGAATACAGAAGGAAGAGAAAAGCGGACAAGAGGTGTGAAGAGGGACGAGCATGAAACGAGGAGGAAATGGAGCAGAGACGCCTTTCACTCGAAGAAGGTTTGTCAGATTGCCAATCGCCCAGAATCTAGGCCCAGCAGGGATGGGAACCCGCGGCTCAGGACAGCAGTGTGGCATCACTCTCCCTCATCAACAGGCACATGAGGGTTAGCCAGAGCCGTGCCCGACTCGGTTTGCCATGTGTGCATGTCCGCACACACTGCAGTATGTGCTCAATCAAGACCCTCAAATCGCTTCTACCTAGGCTTGAGCATCGGGGTCGACCCAGCCAGACCTATG